GGATTCAACTGTCTCGGAGATTAATCGTTTGCGAGACCAACAGTTATACCCAAAACTCGTTCAACTTGTTCATGGGTAAGTTCTATATGATACTAAATGAATAGATTCGAGTTAGTCTAAAGTCTGCAATTTGCAAAGTTTACTAATTTCTGACACAACACTCGCATGAGTCAGTCTCTGAAAAGTATGGAATTTGGCTCCATCCGTGAGACCCATTGCCCGAGCCTTGGCAGGCATGCCTGCCAATCTCTGATTGTTTTAAGTACACCATTGCTGCCCAATGTTTGCGCCCTTCTCATTTTTCTCATCTGAGTATGTTCAGCTTGAACTTTATAATTGATTATAGTATCAGAAGTGGTAGAGGAGTGCTGATATAGATATTGTAGCATTGTTAAAGAGTGAGGATTATACTAATGGAATACTTAGAGAGGTTTTGATCTATGAAGAAAATGGTTCTGAAATCCCACTCGGTCGTGGAGGAGAACGAAGTATTCTTTATAAGGGTGTGGAAATATCTCCCTTCCTAGGAGACATGTTTTAAAAACCTTGTGGGGAAGCCCAAAAAGGAAAACCCAACTAGGACACTGTCTGTTAGCGATGGACTTGGGCCGTTACAAATGGTATCAAAGTCAAACACTGGGCGATGTATCGGTGAGGAAGCTGAGCCCTGAAGGGGGTGAACACGAGGCGATGTGCTAGCAAGGATGTTGGGCCCCAAAAGGGGGTGGATTGAGAGTCCCACATCGATTGGAAGAGAGAACGAGTGTCAGTGAGGACACTAGACCTTGAACGGGGTGGATTGAGAGATCCTGCATCGGTTGAGGAAGAGAACAAAACATTTTTTATAAGGGTGTGGAAACTTCTCCCTACTAGACACGTTTTAAAGACCTCGAGGGAAAGTCCAAAGAGGACAATATTATCAGAGATGGTTGTTAGTCCATAGGTGCATTCAAAGTAGATTTTGGTTAGCTTGATAGATGAGAAGGCTTATATGTTAGCACTACAAATAATTTTTGATATACTGCAGGATGACATTGATGTGGGAGTCGATGAGAATTCAGCATGAAGATCAACTGAAGATTGTAAGCGCATTGAGATATCTGGATCTCTCTCAATCTCCAAAAGAAACTAGTCTGCATCACCACGAGCACACGGTACAGCTCTGCAACATCGTGAGAGAGTGGCATTTGCAGTTTGAGAAGCTCGTGGTGCGTCAAAAAGATTACATAAAAGCATTAAGCAGTTGGTTGAAACTAAATCTAGTTCCGATTGAGAGTAGCTTGAAAGAGAAGGTTTCTTCTCCACCAAGAGCTCAAAATCCCCCCATTCAGAGACTTCTCATTGCTTGGCACGACCAACTCGAAAAACTCCCAGACGAACATCTTCGAACTGCTATATCCAGCTTCAGTGCTGTGATAAATACTATTACATTGCAGCAGGAAGAAGAGATGAAGCTCAAGACGAGATGCGACGAGACTGAGAAGGAGCTCGAGCGCAAGCAGAGGCAATTTAATGACTGGCATTACAAATACCAGCAACGAAGAATGCCCAGCGAGTTGGACCCCGAGAGGTCGGAAGAAAACGCGCAGGACGCCGCAGTTACAGAGAAGCTGGTGGTTGTAGAGTTGTTGAAGAAGAAATTGGAGGAGGAAAAGGAAAGTCATGCAAAGCAATGCCTTCATGTGAGAGAGAAATCACTGGTGAGTCTCAAGAATCAGCTGCCGGAGCTGTTCAGGGCATTGTCGGAATTTTCTTACGCCGCCTCCGAGATGTACAAGAACTTGAGCTCGATCTCTCAGGTCTAAGATTTGAAGCATTAGCCCAGCAAGAACATGTGAAAAGCCTTGAAGAAGTATTGTACGAAACCTTGTTTGTTATAAATAGTTATTATGGATTGACAAAATCTTCATTATAAAAAAAAAAAAAAAAAGGACACGTGGACTCATAATAGAATTGAATGATAAATAAAATAATTTTGAAATTAACATATTAAATTATTTCTAAAAACTAAAAGTGTATTTAAAAATTTCCATTTTGTGAATATAAATATAAGAAACGTTGAAATCCCTGTATTTTCAGTTGAAAGACTGGCACGATGAATTTGAGTTGCTTAAGGGGCGGCGGCGGCGGGATTGGGTACGTGGAAAGAGGGTACTACTCGGCGGTGACAGTGGCGGTTTTGGAGAAGACGACGGCGAGGTGGAGAGTGGTGTGGCGGAGGCTGAAGAAGGAGAAGAAGAGAATGTTCAGGTGCGGTATGAGTGGGGCTCGTGAGGTGCACGTGCCGTATAATCCAAAGACGTATTTGCAGAACTTCGATGATGGGTCTGTGATGATGGTCGGCGACGATGATCCTGACGCGATTAGTCGATCTTTCTCCGCTCGTTTCGCCATTTCCTCCGCCATTTTGCGAAGGCCGCCGCCTGAGTTTGTGGTTCTGAAACTGACAGCATAGTGACTCTGTTCTTCAACCCATCTTTAAAAATTAACTACATGCAAATTAATTTGCATAAATATGTATTATATTGCGTTTAAATTTTGTTCTAAGATTATGAAATTTGAATAATCTATTTATTACTCATTTTTTGTGAGTTTGAATGTTTTGTTAGCTGGTTTTAATAATTTATTAAGCTTAATATTTATCCAAATTTAGATTTAGATTTAATAGAATTAAAACTTTAATATTAACCTCCTCACTCACTAACCACGAAAGTCGAGCACAATAAATGGATTAGACGCCTATCATTATTTTAAGATTGGAAATTGGGATTAAAATAAAATGTATAAATAAATAAATGCTTTAATGAAATAAAATTTGAGAATTACATGCTACCTAATGATAATTAATACGCATATATTTCTATATTATTATTTAATTTTGTAGGAAACATGAGAATTTTATTTTCGTTCGATTGTTTTTTTTTTTTTAATTTAAAATTTGATTTTCTTGAAATTTAAAAGTCAAATATTAAAAGTAGCGAGTGGAAAATTTCCAAGTCTACCCCTTGCGTTGCCATTCCCTATGATACAGTGGAATCATGTAGGAAAGAACACGTATCTTGACTATTACTAATCATCAAATCATCTCATCCACATAATAAATAAATATATATATATTAAACTTTTATTTCCTTTGAAAAAAATTTAAAACATATTAAAATTAACAAATTGATCCATAAATTTTTATTTTTATATTTTGGTCATTTTTAATATATATTTTTAAATTAACGAATTCATTAAAAATAAAGTTTTTTTTTTTTAATTATAGGATATTAAACTTGTGTTCAATAAAAATCTATTAAAAAAATTAAAAGTAATTTAATTTATAATTTAGCAAAAAATTGTTTTTATCATCATAAATGGGTAGTCAGCTAGTTTGGGATGGCAGTTTGACAAAGGAAGAAGGGCTGCAATTGCAGCCTTTGATTTTTCCTTACGGGGCCATTCGCCATTATTATTCCATTTGAAAACGACAATTTACATAAAATAACATATATTAGGTTTCAAACACAATAAAACAAATGAAAAAGAAAAACAAACCCTTATTTTTTAAATTATTGTTAAATTAATATTTCACTTCTCATAATTAAATTACAAAGATTCACATGTAATTAATGAGATCCCAACTATCAACTATAAAATCAGAAGAGAATTAAAAAAAAAAAAAAAAAAAAAAAAAAAAAAAAAA